AGGGCTCTAGTCCCAATCACCAGCGCAGAGCCTTCTTGATCAAATGCCTCTCCATCTAATCCTATCACTTCAGGCATCAGGTTTTCAACAGGTAGGTCTGGGGAGAATGCAAGCAAGCAGACCATACCAGATGAGAAGATAACGTAATTCTGCAAAACTGCCAATGATTCAGACCCTACATGTAGTCTTACAAAATAGAGAGTAACAAAATGGGGAAGCTTATGCTTGATTCTTCCTAGATGCCACTCACTTCCCACACCACAGCACAGGGTAGTGGCAAGTAGTGACACCCCTTCAGCTGGTCCTCATTTCTGGGCTTTCCCTGCCCCAGTTAAATGTGGAGCCAGCCTCAGAACCTGGGCTCTCTGTAGCAACATTCTCCTCCCTTCCCATGTCTCCCAGAAACATGACGGTACAAAAATGCCCTCACATCAGAGAGCTAGTGTAAGATCTAGTAAAGGGAAGAATATTATGGGCTCAAAAGTGCATCCATTCTTGCAGGATAGCTTCCCCAGTGGCTCAGATGGTCAAGAATCCGCCTGCAACACAGGAGACCTGGGTTCGATCCCTGGGTTGGGAAGACCCCCTGGAGAAGGGCACAGCAACCCACTCCAGTATTCTTGCCTAGAGAATCCCCATGGACTGCAGCCTGTCAGGCTCCTCTGTCCATGGGGTCACAAAGAGTCAGACTTAACTGATTGACTAAGCACAGCACACAGCACAAAGAGATCAAACAAGAGAGGCAACAAATAAATGGGCTGGCGCTGAACTGGGCTTCCAGGGATCCCCCAGGCTGCACTCTGGACATCCACAGATATGGCCTCAGGATGTGCCTCTGGAGTGACAAAATGGCCATTTTCTTTTCCAACTGTGTTTTTTGGTGTGAGTTTCCATATAGTCTCTAAAGTTCCCCTTTGAATACACTGAAAGGAGAAAAGGTTCTTAAGGACAGAGGTGCACTGTTGCTTGTTTTATTGTAAGTGGCTGAGCATCGGCAGACACAGTTAGAGGCTGGGTTTCTTTGGCAGTCTTGTATTGTTCTTGTGTGCTCAAACTCCCAGGGGTAGCGTTCCCATGTAAGCTATCACGGTCGGCTTCTGATAAATGAGTCTCAGCTAGCTGGGCGGTGCACACAGCGGCTGAAAGAAACAAAGCACCCCTCTGACTCAGCACAGGCACAGCCCCAGGGATCGTCGTTCAGAACGTCAGGGACAACACCAGAACCCATGAGCACCTTTCGGCCCCTCACCCCTCCGCTCCTGTGCCGGCAGGGGCTGGCCGGCCTTCGTGTTGTGTATTTCAATGGGCTTTAGTGGTTAGGTAGAACTCACCGAACCTGGCACATGTAATTGAATATCACTAATAGTCAATCAATGTCATCTTTCAGAATATATATCAGGAAAACAATCTCAGAATCGAACAGAGTTTTATTGGTATGCCAGATATATGGAAAGGCAGCACAGAAGTTACACTTTACTATAAAAATAAAGAAATATAGCCCCCTGACTCTTTTTCATTTCAATTAGGACATTTTTTTAAGGCAGTAAATACAGTAAAGTTTTATGGAACATAATTTGCAGTGTACTCTTGTGTGTTTTATTTTTCATTATGCAGTGAACATCATGAATGTTCATGATCATGTCATTTGTTCAAGATATGGATAAAGACATGGAGCTTATTTGGGGACCTCTGATGTCAAATAGGCCTTCCCTAGTGGCTCAGATGGTAAAGAATCTGCCTGCAAGGCAGGAGACCCAGGTTCAATTCCTGGCTGGGGATGAGTAAACCAGTTCGTGCACAAATACATCATGCATAAGATTTCATTACCTGAAAAATGGCTTAAATATAAAAGTTTCTTTGTGTGTTTTTATTTCTTCTTTTGGAGGTTGATGGACAGAGCCTTTGGTTTTGGAAACTTGCAAAATAACCTGCAGGAAGGGGAAGAATTTTAAGCATAAGTATATTGTATGAGTATATGTAAATAGGAAGGACAAAATGGAGAAAGGGGAGATTTTTTATTTTTATATATTTAATTAGAGGATAATTAATTTACAATACTGTGATGGTTACTGCCATACAGTCAACATGAATCAGCATTAGGAATACATACGTCCCCTCCCTCAGGAACCTTCCTCCCACCTCTTTCCCCATCCCACTCATCTAGGTTGCCACAGAGCTCTGACTCTGGCTTCCCTGCATCATACATCAGACTCCCTCTGGCTATCCATTTTACATATGGTTGTGGGCTTTTCTTGTGGCTCAGTTGGTAAAGAATCCACCTGCAATGTGGGAGACCTGGGTTCGATCCCTAGGTTGGGAAGATCACCTGGGGAAGGGAAAGGCTACCCACTCCAGTATTCTGGCCTGGAGAATTCCATGGACAGTCCATGGGGTCTCAAAGAGTGGAACACGACTGAACGACTTTCATTTTCACTTTCAGTGTATATGTTTCAATACTATTCTCTCATATCATCCCACCCTCTCTGAGGAAGGGAAGTTTTTTTCAGCTTTCAGACCACATCAGGAGAGGCAGTTGAAGAATGCTAATGAAAGCAACTAGGCAGGGCTGCCACCAGTCAGATGCCTGGGCTGGATGTTCTGGCACCACCACCACCACCCCCTTGAAATCTACTCTTCATCCTTCCAACCTTGGTCTGTGTCCTAAAGAAGAACCTCTACATGCCACATCAGCTGCATAGCCCTTCCTTCTGGCTTCCAGTTGGGTTCAGCCAATGGGAGGCAGCAGCCAGAGGTCAGAAGGAGGGACTGGAGAGGTCAGGATATCATTCCCTCTGCTCCCTCCTTGAGGGACCTTGCTTTGGCAGCTGCAGCATCTTCTGGCCATGTTCTGTGGCTTCAAAGCTGGTGCATCCTGGTAGCAGCTCCATCCCTTCTGGCCGTTCTGCTGTTGCCAGCCCCAGGGTTCTTCATCACAGTGGCTTCCTTCAACCCTGTTCACACCTCTCTAAACAGTCTCTTCTTTAACTCTCCTTATTGCTCCTCTGAGTGTGCCATCTGTTTCTTGCCAGGACCCAGACAAATATAATGCCTTTTCAGGAATTAGGGGAAAAAAGCACCCAGATGGGTATGCAAGGGTTCATTACACAGTTGTCTTTACTTTGGTGTATAGTGCAATTTTCTAAAATAAAAAGATTCCCACAGAAGAAAAGGAAAGGAAAGAAAAAGGCACCCCTTTTGGTGAATGGTGCCCTGCAGGTGCATTCAGGCTGGCCTTCAGCCCCATCTCCTTCTCTCAGCAGATAACTTGGTGCAGTGCCCGAAATACCCTGCCGAACTTGGAAGTCCTAGGAAAGAATGGCATCCACACTAAGTCACTAAGTCGTGTCCAACTCTTTGGGACACAGGGGACTGTAGCCCTCCAGTCTCCTCCGTCCATGGGATTTTCCAGACAAGAATCCTGAAGCGGGTTGCCATTACCTTCTCCAGGGGATCTTCCCCACCCAAGGATCGAACCCAAGTCTCCTGCATCTGCTGCATTGGCAGGCAGATTCTTTACCACTGCACCACCTGGGAAGCAGGAAAGAATGGGCAGATCCCTTAAAGCTGGAAAACATCTTAAAGAGAAAGTGAGGATTGACCTGGGTCTTTAAAGATATTAGGAACTTAAATGGAAAAGTATATTGCCAGCAAAGATAAAATGAATCCCTGGAGAAGATTGCATAAGGCAAGGAGTGCCCCTTGAGAGGAGAACTGCAGCCTAAGAAAGTAGAGATGAGGTAGAGATGGGCTTGAAGTGCTGAGCCATAAATTGTGAATTGGAGTTTGTGATCAAACAGGAAATATGATGCAGTGTTTGGACACATGGGCTCTGAAGAGTGATCCATTAGCTCTGTGACTTTGCACAGTAACTAAACCTCTGTCTTCTATTATACAAAATGGGGATAAAATAGTACCTACCTCCTAGATTTGCTGGGAAACCGAATTTTTGTAATGCAGGTAAAGTGCTTAGCACAATGACTGGCATTTAGTAAGCACCCCGTGGAGATTAGCTACAGAAGGGTGACATGATGAAAGCAGTATTTTATGAAGATTAGCCAGACAGGTCATGTAGGATGTGCTAGAATGGAAAGATGGGGGTAGGGGGAGGCAAGGAATTCTGAAGCCGCTGTAGCCCTCTGCACTCCAACTCGGGACACAGGACACAGGAAAGAAGCTGTATGTGTGAGAACCTTGTGAGAGGAGGAGAGGGGCTGAAAGCAGATGGGTTGTAAGAGTAAGGAGTCTGACCCTGCAAGCACTTTGCTAAGATCTTCAGTCTCTGCTGGTATAAATACATGTGGGCAGCTTAAGCAGTTGACATTGGAAGGACTGACCATTTGACACGAGCACAAGGTTTAAAAAATGGTGATATAAATTTGACATTAGATTTTACTCTTCTACTCAGTGATGAGGTAGACCCAAGATTCTATTACAAAATAAAAATCCTAATGGACACTTAAAATATTCCAGTGATCACTGGTTGCTCCTCCAACTTTCCAAAGATGTTTTTTTTGTCTCCAGAAGTTTGTTCTGATTAAAACCTGGGATCAGGCCTCCTCAATTGAGGAAGAGCACCCTCATACAAGGGAACCCTCTAAGGTCTTGTATAATTTACAAGTTCAGGTCCTACTAGCAAAATTCACAGGATCACTGAGTGAGCTGTCAAGTCCTTGACTTAGCCATCTTAACATTTGGGATGGAGGGAGACAGAGTAATTAATTTTAAGGAATAATTTCTGGAAGTCCTCAGGTGAGCATTTATTTGTAGGCAAGCCTACATGAGAATTCAGTGCCATTTAGAGACAACTCTGAAGCCATTTTAGCCACGTCTCTCTCTCTCTGGGAAAACACATGCCTTGTTTTCGCTGCTTGCCGTTTTTTCTAGGAAATCAGGCCCAGGTTTTGCCAATGTTCCGGTTCACTGTTAGAAAGAACATGGCAGAATCTGGTTTCAAGGTCGCTCCTGTCTCACCCCAACCGGTCTCTCTCTCTGTGCCTCAGGTACTTGCCTGAGATCATGAATGACGGGCTGACCAACCAGATCAACAACCCGGAGGTGGACGTGGACATCACGCGGCCCGACACGTTCATCAGGCAGCAGATCATGGCTCTCCGCGTGATGACCAACAAACTGAAGAATGCATACAATGGCAATGACGTCAACTTCCAGGACACGAGTAAGATAGCCTTTGTCAGCACCCTCCAGAGTGAAAACCGTTATAGATCATTCTGCAGTTTGTTTTTTTAAAGAAAGAATTTTATTTTCATTTTTTAACATTTTGCTTTGTTTTGGAGCCTTGTCATTTAGAGAACTTCCCTGATTGCTCAGTGGTAAAGAATCTGCCTGTCAATGCAGGAGATGCAAAAGACTCAGGCTCCATTCCTAGGTCAGGGAGATCCCCTGGAGGAGGAAATGGTAACCCACTCCTGTATTCCTGCCTGGGAAATCCCATGGACAGAGGAGCCCGGCAGGCTACAGTCCATGGGGTTGCAAAGAGTCAGATGAAATTTAGCAACTCAACAACAACAGAGATGTTTAACAACGTTGTGTTGGTTTCAGGTGTATAGCAAAGTGATTCAGTTATGCATATACATGTATCTATTCTTTTGCAAAATCTTTTCCCATTTAGGTTATTACAGAATATTGTACATCATTCCTTGTGCTATACAGTAGGTCCTTGCTGGTTATTCATTTTAAATATAGCAGTGTGTACCTAGCGATTCCAAACTTCCAAACTATCCCTCCCCCACTTCCCTCCTGGTAACCATAAGTTTGTTCTCTGAGTCTGTAAGTCTGCCTCTGCTTTATAAATAAGTTTATCATGATTTTTCTTTAAGAGCAATGTGTAACATGGCTCTTTTGTGTCATTCTTACCCCATGTGCAAGGTTCTTTATAGTCCTTTGGGCAGAGAGCCCTGACCTTTTTTTAGGATACGACTAAAATCATAGCTGCTCCTAAGGAGTAGTTTCAGTGGCTGACATTCAAATGTACCAAAACTAAAGTTGAGTTGCATCTGCCAGTTAATCCATTAACTACAAGACAGCAAAGTAATGTTTTCCCCTCCCCACTTCCCCATCATCATTTATGTCTCTGCCTCAAACTTCCATCCTTCCTCCCAACCGCCAAGAGAAGAATGTCCTCAAGATCACTCACCCAGACAAGGCTGAGTGGGAATCCCTGTTTTATTACTTATGAACTGAAGTCTTGAACAGATTATCTCTTGAGTTTCATGTTCCTCTTCTATAGAATGGGAAACATTCCTGAGTTAGGATTGTTGGGAGGTTCGTTTGAGGCCATGTGTAAAGGAGCTAAGATGAATATCTCATGTGCCATGAAGTCAATTGCATTGTTCTCTCTCGTATCGTGCACATACATGACCCACTGACTTTTGTATCTGAAATCTTGAGCAAAATACTAAAATGCTGATGTAATATTACACATGACTATTTTATTAAAGATTACAAAATACCAAAAGTGATTTTGAAAGACTAGTAAGTGCACATTGAATGAAAGTAACCATATTTGGGTTTTGTCTAAATGGTTTCTAGATGTGTAACTATAAAGGCAAGGGCTTTTTTGTTTGTTTGTTTTATGTTTTGTTGGTTTTTTTAAATATATATTCTTATAGAGAGAGTTCTTGGGAGAAGATTTCTTGAACATAAGATGTGGAGTTGCCAGTGATTCTATAATTTGGTCACTGAAGCAAAAGATGATGCTATGTGCTTGAATTAATGAGATAGAAAAAAACAGGTTACAGATGGGAGACATGAAGTCATCTGAGTCTTAACCATCAGTCTACTGAGTTTTCCCCTGCAGAAAATTTTTGGAGCTTAATTCCATTTAAAATAACTCAAAAATTAACTTTCTAAGTGCAGGATCATTGCCAACCTGATAAATTTGCTGTAAACTTTCTCAGTCCTCCCAGTATTTCTCTGCCTCTTTGCTAAATGTCTCCTTCCCTCTTCAGAAGAGAAAATTACACTAGATTTTAGCCTTTGCTGCTTCTCCCCTGCTCATTTCTTAGCTTCACTCCTCTCAATTTATCTTTTCTGTCTTCTCTAATAAAACACTTTGTCATCAGAGAATGACTATTGGATTAAATCATTCAAGATACATTAGAATTAGTTGATGTTGGCCTTGGTTCTCTCTCCTCTCTGACCTAAAGAGGTTGTATACATGTCAATCTGCAAAACTTAAGATACGCCCTAGAGAAGACACCCTGCTCCATTTCCCCCAAAAAGAAAATAAAAATCAACAACACTTAAGAGTATCACTTTGCTGTAACCTCAGCACCAAACTTGACCTCCTGTTTTAGGATGAAAGTGAAAGTGTTAGTCTTTCGGTCATGCCCGACTCTTTTCGGCCCCGTGGACTATCACCCATCAGGTTCCTCCGTCCATGGGATTTCCCAGGCAAGAACACTGGAATAGATTGCTGCTTCCTTCTCCAGGGAATCTTCCTGACCCAGAGATCGAAGCCAGGTCTCCTACATTGCAGGCAAATTCTTTACCATCTGAGCCACCAGGGAAGCTTATTTTAGGATACTGTCTGTCTTATAAAACCACTATCACATCTTATAGTCATCATCACCATTATTGCTTCTGACATTTTTAAAACTCACCACTTAAATACCTGCATTTGTGATTCCTTTTCAGAAAGAGATAGAGCCATTATTTTTCTCAGCTAGAATTTCCCGTCATTATTTGCTTACCACATTTTTAATATTCTAAATCACCTCAATAATATTTCTGTAAAGGTTATGTAACTTCTTGTTCATAATACCAGTGTTTAAAACAATTCCCTTAGCAATTGTGATATCTCTGAATTTAATTAATGGGCATTTTCCCCCTTGTGAAGGCCACTAAAGATAAATTAGAGAAAATGTTAAGAACCTGGTATAGTGTATTCAAGTGCTCTTATGTGGTATTTTAGATGTCCCATTAAGAAAACAAAAATTACACTGGGACTTCCCTGGCGATCCAGTGGTTAAGACATTGAACTTCTACTATAGGGGATATGGTTCAATCCCTAAGATTGAACTAAGATTTTACATGTCATGTGATATAGCCAAAAAAAGTTGAAAAAAAATTTAATAAATAAATAAAGTTGCTCTGAGTTGAGCCTTGCTTAGTAGGGAGGTATTGAAAGAGACCTGACATCACCTTGGCTTTTCTCAAGTGCCACTGTCTAGCAGCCAAGATGGCACTAGTCTTTTTGGAGCAGCTCAATATATACATCACCATTTCAGACCAGCAGGGAGGCATTTAAGGCTATTGAATGGACTCCATGGAGTACATGGGGGAAATAGTAAATGTCATTACTGCGTTTACCATTACTACGTTTCCTAAGCCCTCCCAGGAACATTATCTCACTTATAACACTTATCTCACCCTATAACAGTTCTATGAAGTAGATAGGACTATTCTCATTTTTACAGGTGAGCAAGCAGGGCCTAGCAAGGCTAACTGTCTTAAACAAAAGACAGCAGGTTAAAATCTAAGTTGTCTTTGCTGGAGGAACAATATATTTCCTATCAAGCATCATTGCACACACTGGATTTGGTGTTCTCACATTTTATCAGGGGGTCTTCACCATCCTCAACAAGGTAAATGTTACTGTCAGTAGGTATTGAGTTGAGGAAACAAAGAAATTTTAAAAAGTGTCCAAGGCATATTTAATTATTCAGTAAGTAGTTATTATTGTGCACCTACTGTATGCCAGGGATCATTAAAGCCAATGCAAATACAGAAATGAACAGTATATACAAAGTGTCTGCCCTTCCTCAACAAGTGTACATTGTCAGAGAGGGAATAAGAAAGCAAACAGTTAAATAATAGAGTTGCAAATGGGGATAAGTACTTTCACATAGCTAGTAATGGATGCTCAGTTGGTAAAGAATCTTCATGTCAATGCTGGAGACCTAGGTTTGATCCCTAGGTTTGGGAAGACTCCCTGGAGAAGGAAATGGCAACCCACTCCAGTGTTCTTGCCTGGGAAATTCCACGGACAGAGGAGCCTGGTGGGCTACAGTCCATACGGTCGCAAAGAGTCAGACACAACTTAGCAACTAAACCACCACAACCAGTAATAGATGGAGACTTACCTGAGACCCAAGTCTGAGATACAGGGTTTAAGAATCATGAACCAAATGGTCAGAAGTGGGAATAGAACAGCCCCAGAAGGCATTTTGTGCAGGCAGGGAAGATGCCAGGCTGAGAAAGCATACTAGGTGGACACCTGGATGTTGGTTTTAAGCAGAGAATGGCAAAATTTTCTGCTAATAGCCACATATTAAATATGTTCAGCTTGGAGGGCCATACATGAATGCATAATTAAACAATCCATAAGTGAATGACCATGGCTGTGTCCCAATATAACTTTACATACAGACACTGAGGTTTAGATTTCAGATATATACCATGTACATATCACAAATATTATTCCTCATTTGTGTTTCTTCAAACACTTGAATATATAAAAACCATTCTTGGGATTATACGAAGTCACACTTGGATGCATGTGTGCTAAATCTTCTCAGTCACGTCCGACTCTTTGTAACCCTATGGACTGTAACCTGCCAGGCTCCGCTGTCCAGGGGATTCTCCAGCCAAGAATACTAGAGAGGGTTACCAAGCTCTCCTCCAGGGGATCTTCCCAATCCAGGGATTGAAACTTTATCTCTTGCGTCTCCTGCATGAACCTGGCAGGCGGGTTCATTACCACTAGTGCCACTTGGGAAGCCCAGGCTTGAGATCCATACAAAAACAACTGGCAGGCCTGGAGGCCATGGTTTGTCAACCAGTGGTCAAGTCAGAATACATCCTTGCACTTAGGAGGAGAACAGCAGTGGAAAAAGTAGCCAAAAATGGTAATAACCAGCTGTGCCTTCCACAATTACGTGCTGCCATTTTCTGATTTCTTACTTCCATTGTTGGTTTTCCTCTTCAATGGTTTCCTTTAAAATATCCTTTCAAAATCCTTTCTAAAAGCATGATATCTCCTGAGAACAATGGCTCTGAGTTTTGAAAATGAGCAAAGAATGAAAGTTCTTAAAGTAATTGAAATGTTGGCCAGAATATGAAATTCATTTCAGATTCCAACATGGTGGGCATGACCTCTCACTGGATCTGGGATTCTTATGTTTTTTAGTTGGGTAACTTCAGATATCTTTTCAAACAAGTCGGCTCTTTGCATCAGGTGGCCAAAGTATTGGAGCTTCAGCATCAGTCCTTCCAATGAATATTCAGGGTTGATTTCCTTTAGGATGGACTGGTTTGATCTCTCTGCTGTCCAAGGGACTCTCAAGAGTCTTCTCCAGCACCACAGTTCGAAAGCATTAGTTCTTCGTCACTCAGCCTTGTCCAGCTCTCACATCCATACATGACTACTGGAAAACCCATAGCTTTGACTATAAAATGGCCTTCTCTCAGCATAGTGATGTCTCTGCTTTTTATTTAGATACAGTCCACCCACCCATCACAAAGCTGTCCATTAAAAATAAACCTAGTGGGGCAGGGTAAGGGGGTCTTCTACCAACATGCCCAAATCTCTATTGTGCCCCACTCTTTGCTGGCCTGCTTACTCTCTTTTTCTATCTGTCCACACCAGGCGACGAATCCAGCGGCTCGGGGAGCGGCAGTGGGTGCATGGATGACGTGTGTCCTACAGAGTTCGAGTTTGTCACCACCGAGGCCCCCGCGGTGGATCCCGACCGGAGAGAAGTAGACTCTTCTGCCGGCCAGCCGGGCCACTCCCTGCTCTCAGGATCTCTCGCCTGCGTCGCCCTGGCACTGCAGAGCCTGTGCAGATAATCCTGGGTTTTCGGTCAGATGAAACTGCATTTTAGCTATTGGAATGGCCAACTCACTTCTTTTCTTACACCCTTGGACAGTGGACCATGCCACAAAAACTAACCGGTTTCCGAGAAGAGGGCAGTACTGTACTCTGCCTCCCTTTTTGTTTTCCCAAAGAGTACCGGGCGCCAGACTGGACTGCTTCCTCTTTCCTTCAGCTATCTGTGGGGACCTTGTTTATTCTAGAGAATTCTTACTCCAATCTTTCGTACCAGGAGATTTTCTTACCTTCATTTGCTTTTATGCTGCAGAAGTAAAGGAATCTCACGTTGTGAGTTTTTTTTTCCCCCATTAAAAAAAAAAATAGGAAGAAAAGATCATTTTCCTTGCAAAATCAAGCCAAACCCCAAGACAACTGCAATTGGAACAAAGAAGCAAACAAGAGAGAAAAATAAAACAGCTTTAATGCCATAAGTTTGGCATTGCCAGCCAGCTCCCAGTGTAAGCTTTTCAGTAACAAGTCAGGGTTACAAAATGCTTATGGAGAGAAAGTTTGACATTTTTTTCATGTAGTGAAAAAACACTGTTGTCTTGGAGGTCTTGCACGCTAACCACACAATGCCCCAGCTGATTTGGAGGTACTGAGGGTAAATTTAGAATTCCATCTTTACTATGATAGAAAAATTTGCTATATAGCTCAGCACTTCTCTCTTACCTTGCCCGATTTCAATTTCAGTAATGGCATCATTTTTCTTAATTCTTTTAATTATACATTTTATAATACAGTGTCTGTCCACTGTATCCAATTGGCACAGACTTTTTGCTTCATTTTCAGTTACTAGTGGACACCGGCCTGAACTCATCCCCCTCAAGGGTCTGAAATGAAATCATCAACAATACAATCTCTTTGCTTTAGCCACAGGCTTGACAGGAATCAGATGTTTCTGCCCTGTGTTCATTACCCTCCCCAAAGAAGAGTTCTTTTAATGAACAGAAGAACAATTCGATCCATAAGTGAGTTTTCATTTTTAACTATTTACTTTGTGTCAATTGGTTTCTGCATCACAAGGGCATTCTCTTACAAAATAACTCACAACAACAAAAAACGTCAAGACAAAAAATATATATATATAGTATTGACATGGAGATTTCTTTCACTTTTTTAGTCTTAGTATGATCATCTATTTTTATATCTATATATATATAAATCACAGATTTTAACTTCTTAATTCCAAGCTCAGGGTTGACACACCTTTGTAACGAAAATGTTTTGTCAACCAGCTCTTCTTGTTTTGTGCTGCTCAGAGAAGGGATTCCTCATTTATCTGTGAGCACCAAGAATCAAGAAAGAGAACTTTTTACGTATCTAACTGTCCATTTATTAAAAGTTTGCCAGGGCACACCTTTCTCGCATGAGTGTGCTTTGCCCTGGGTGCTCCACACTGTACCTAACTCATGGGCAGAGCCATGGGTGTGCAGAACTGTACCGGTCGTGGAAACTGTATGTGCAAGGAATGTGTTATTCATGCAAAACCATTGCTTTCAGGACAACGCCTTCAGCCTAGGATTCCTGCTTGGCACTTGGAGAGATGTCCTAATTTAACAGGCTGATTTATAGCCTAACTCTTCCCCCAGGTGTGCCAAAGCCAGGCATGATGCTCCCCTTGATAGAGAGAAGCAAAATAAACCAAACTGGGGCTTTATGAATACAGTTGGCTATCCATGTTTTTTATTTTTTTGGTTTCTATGATGCTTCTGGGGTTGGGAAAAGTAATGTTTCAAGACACCGTAGTATGCCAGTCACATGTTAACTAACCCATTGGCAGTCATGACACATAAATGGTATTTTTTATCTCCATACTCATCAAAATTATAATTAGTTATCAATTTAGTCATCACACTTAAGTAGAACACATGCAGCACAATAGTATTAAGTATATTTGAGCACTTTTGCAAAACTGAAAGTATTTAGAAGCATCTCTTGCTATTGTATGCCTAACAAAATATGGAATGTAGGATTCTGAGAGACTTTTTGGCATCTTTTCATTTAAATCTTTAAGAAATTAACACTTAATCTAATTCGGCATTCCATACTTCTAGAAAACCATTCATTTCACTGCCAAACTTCAGCTTCCTAGCACCAATTACACATAAAGCATCTCTATGAAGGACCAATCATTTATGTTGCTCATTGCATTGTATGTTCAGAAATCAGTATTGTCTTTCTCCAGTAATTAAGGTGCAATACAAATTAAATCAATCTTGATTTTCCAGAATATTTGAGTCATCACTTGTTTTCGTAGCTTTAAGCTTCAAGTCTTTCCTTTTAAAAAAATATTTCTGCATTGCTTTCTGTGAAATAGATCCAAATGCCTTGTTTTCCCTGTGCTTTCACCCCCAGAGGGCTTTGTGCATGTGTGTGAATACACCTTATATTAATGAATGTGAACCCATGTTCTGTACACACTAAACACACCAATAGTATATAAATGCCTGCTTCATTTGTTTCCACACCTTTGTTATCAATATTATTCATATTGGTGAGCTATAGTGAACTATATGAGCCAGGCAGAAAGCTGACATCACTATCAGTTAATGATGCCACAGTAATCGTCACCTGCATGGATGTGGTCAAAATACTATTCAAATTGTACTTCCTGCTTTTTAATCATCATCCCACCCCATCATATGATTTTTTAGACTAATTTGACATGAGAATTTTTTTGTACCCTAAGAGAATTAGCTTAATCTAGTTAACCCATTTCAGTAAGTATTTTGGAATTTCTCCCTCCCTGCACCACCAAATTAATTTCTCTCATTTTAGCATAGTGATAGGGGATGTGATGATACTCCATTGTTTTTCCTGACCTGCCCTCACTTGCTTTGAAGTCCCCTAAATTCTGTAATCACATCATAACCTCTGTTATGAGTAGAGAGGAACGGACTCACTGAAATCGGACGCTAGAAACAGTTGGGTGATGCTCATAACTGCAAACACTTAGCTTATTGAAGTGCCTCTATTTACATGTTCTTTAGTTATAATATGTATTTTTCTAACAGAAATACACGTCTGTAACTGGTGTATATTATACTTTGTATATGTTATAACAAAACCTAAACAGAGGCTAAAGTCTTAAGCAGAGAAGAATGGATTGCAAATTCATGAGTTCGAGCTCCGCTTATGGTTCTGTATTAAAGGACAGACACGATGACCTTCTCTCATTTGAATGAAGGTCAAGTCAGGACTTTGATCAGAGCCATCATAGAACAGCATTAGCGCTAGCAATCTGACTCCCTTACAGTGTCTTAACCAGATCAATATCTTGTATTACTTGCTTTAATTGTAAGGGATAGAAAATACTACTTTGCCTACACCAAAAAACATGATTATTCATTGACAAGCAGTAGTCATTGTAAAAGTAGCGTTCTGTAAATCAAACACACTGAAAATATTATTGGATGCAGAGCCCTGATGTTTAATTTATATTCCCTGCTGCAGACATTAGCCTACTTTAATTCTTTAGCCATTGCATACATGTTTTGGCTACACACTGAACACCTACTAACGTCCTCAAGGAGGAACAAAACCTTGACAGATTCCTGAGTTGTGATTCTTTCATTACTTCTCTTTGCAAGGCTGATTATCAGGTGGTTGGATGAATGGTGGAAGGGTTAGCAAGTGCAAGTTTTGACTTGCCCAAAACTTGCAGAAATTCAAACTCAGTTACTTACAGTCACTAACCAATCTGACTTCTAACTTTAGAAAAAGGAGGGGAGGAGAGGAGGAGTTTAGCTTTGCTAACAGAAGAGTAAAGGAGACCATAACTTATAAATTTTCAGTGTGTTCCTCCTTGGCGGAGACATTAGCCAGTGTTTGGTTTTAGGCCAAGTTCTACAAAGACAGTATTGATTTGTATGCATCCTGGAGCCTTGCTATAACACAGTTTGCTACAGCACAGGACTCAGCCTAGCATGGGGCCATTTGAACCTCAGTGAAGGTTGCATAGGTACTGGAATCTTTGACATTGCCTTGTAACGAGGTACTTCGACGAAAAGACAACTCAAGTTGGCGTGGTAGTGAGGTCTCTGTGTGCATATGCATAACATATATGCAGGACAAATGTGTGCACCAATCAAACCTAAAATTTTATGTGACTGTCAAATGAATATGATTTGGGTTAAGATTTTTCATTTCTGATTTGGATAGAAAATTGCTATTAATCTTGTATTAAAATAGTTTTTAAAAATCTACCAGTGCCCTTTCTGCATTTTCTTAATTATTTTCATAGTCTAAATTTCAGAGCTTTTGAGTTGTTTTGTTTGAGAACTTTTTAGAAGCTGCAATATTTTAAAAAAGGAAAAGAGCCATAGGTTAAATCAGCACCACCCACTGAAGTACACTTGGCATTTGAAATCAAGGACTTTTCAAACTTTAGAATATTTAGAGCTTTCCAAATGTATATCTTGAGTTTGAGCAAGCTCCAGGAGTTGGTGAGGGGCAGGGAAGCCTGGCATGCTGCGGTCCTTGGGGTCGCACAGAGTTGGACACGACTGAGCGACTGAACTGAACTGATCGGAGATACTGTACCTCTCTTCTTTTGTGTTGGTTTCTTCTCTAAAATAAAATTTAGTAGCTTGAAAATTGATGTAAGTACTTTATAAATAATGTCAGAAAATAAGATGTAAAAGAACTAACAATTTTCCAGATTTAGCAGATTGCCTTGCTTTTTTATTTCTGGAAGCTTCCATGCTCCCAGGGATGCTAAATACTGTAAAACATGCTAAAGATTCATTTAGCAAACTTTTATTAAACTCTTACTTGACTTACTTACTTGCCTGGTCTAGGTGCCAGTCACTGGTTGTCAAACCCCCATCTGGGAAGTATTCATTATTTACTATAGTTACCCATAATTATTACAAATACATCACTTATTTTTAAAATGTTCTTTTAAATAAAGAAATCTATGTAAATAAAGTTATCACAAATATAACACTGTAAGCAACATTATAATTTTTAA